CCCTCTACATTTAGAAACACGCGTTTAGACAAATTGGCTGTTATACATTTCCACGTGATAACCCACGTCGCTGAGCTATCATTCATGGTCAGGTCACTTCTAAAGAAGAGCTACACGGCTCGGCGAGCCTTTACCTGATAACATTATAATAGTTCAGCAGTGCTGACAACTTTCTTCCTTTGTTCAAGTCCTGTCCCAAGACCTTCCTCTTCCCATCTGCCTGTGATTACCTCTTCCTGTGATAGCATTGTTCAGGGCTCACACAGTCAATCATTATAGCAGGGCTGATGAAAGTATGACCACATTGTTTAATCCAACAGTGGCTGTGTACATGATAAGTCCCCGCCATAGTAATGTGGGATTTCCATACTTGGGTTCAGTGGAGGAGAGATCACCATCAAATGCTCGTCCGAGACTCATAGAATTGACGCCCAGTCCACTGTCTAGAGGCAGCGTCGCGTTAAACAAAATCCATTGTTGTACTATACTTCTATGCTGCCACGTTACTGCTCCTCCCCCTCCCCTCACACCCCCCCCCCCCCCCACCTCACCATCGTCACCGAGACGCAATGATCAGCGTGGTGAAGTGCGGTCGCGTAAATCTCACCCACGATCCGCATGGCATGGGGAGGGGACACACATCCAGCAGTGGATTGGCAAAAGGGCTGCGTCTGATCGCGCGATCTTCCCCACGTCCGAGGTTATTGTTCACGCGCACGCACGCGTCTGTCTCATCCGCTGGACCGCTCGCTTCGCCGGCTTCGTGCGCCGTTTCCTGAACACTGACTGACGTCCTCGTGTACGACTGCGCCGCGTAATGGCAGAAAGTAATTGGCCGACAGCGCTGACATTTGGCGTCAAATATTTCTCAATAGACCCCACGGACGCTCACCCCATCACGCGAAAAGTCGGAAGAGTTTGGACAATTTGTTATGAAGGTGTTTTTTTTTATCAAGTGCGGATAATCGTGACGTATTAACGATGGAGTGTAGGCCCATGTCTTTAGCAACCGATTCAAATTACGTGGATGAGAAATTTCCCTGAGATAGGATCAAATTCTCTGGAAGTATCTTGCACGCGCGTGTGTGCGTGTGTGTGGTGCTGGTGGGGAGTGGTCATTTAGTGGTTGGCGCTCTGCTCGACGAATCCAGCGACCCGAGTTCGATGGCCGCTCCCCTAGGTCAACTCAGCCTCCAATGAGTACCCGGTGTGATTTGTAAACATCGCCACTCGGGAGACAAAGGCGGCCGGGCGTGGTGCTGACCCCCGATCCCGTGGTGTCCCGTGCCGGCCTTCATAGCTGCTCGCTAACAAAATGTGCCCAGAAAAAATATCTGCTAGGGCGAAACGGGGGAATCTTTGTGATTGTGTGCAGGTGTGTATTAGTTCATCCGTATGTGTGTGTGTATATGCGTGAGTGCGTCGGTCCGTTCATCTGTGTGTGTGTGTATCACCACTCACAAATCCACCATTCGCCCCCTCGCCCCCTCCAAAAACAAAACACGCATAACAGATTTTCACAACATTGCAGCAGTGGCAGCAGCAGTGGCAGCAGCAGCGGCGGCAGCGGCAGCAGCAGCGGCAGCAGTGGCAGCAGCAGCGGCAGCAGTGGCAGCAACAGCGGCAGCAGTAGCGGCAGCAGCAGCAGCTAGAGCGACGCGCTTCGTGTGCCCTCTCCGAGAAGCCAGGGCTGGCTGGCAGGGCCAGCGGGCCAAGCGGTGGGGCAGGGTTAGTCTCGGGGGCTCTAGGGGATAATCGGCGGGTACATTGCGAGGGCGCTCAGAGAGGGTGGCGGGCGGGCGGGGGGAGGGGGTTCAGGGCTGATGGACAGCCCTCGGTGACTCGACAAGAGCTCATTTTGGGGGCTAATCGGAGGACAAACTCGACCCCCACCGGCACTCGGCGACCCCGGGCGTGACCCCCGCGCTATTGTGGGCGTCGAATTCCAAGCGGCGCTCACGATGGGCGCGAGCTTTCTCAGCAGCACGAGGCGCGTCGCGGGAGACGTTTGGTGGGAGACGAGGGGGAGACGGAGGGAGACGACGAGGGATGGAGGGAGACGAGGGGGAGACGAGGGGGGGACGAGGGGGGACGAGGGGGGACGAGGGGGAGATGGGGGGGGAGATGGGGGGTGCGGGTGTGGAACCGCATGCCGATGTGGCCCGACTCTGAGCCGTGGCAGACTGAGTAGTGGTAGACTGAGTGCAACCACGCCCCACCGTATGGGCAGTGTTGGTCAACGGGCCCAGCACGTGCGGAATAATGGGGCCTGAATAACATCATGTGGACCCCCATGCGAAGGCATTGAATGCATTGTTAGCCGGTAGAATACAATGCATTGCCGGGACAACACGTGACAATTTGCCCAACATAGATCATTGATGACCCACCTCATTACGGTTTCCGCCCAATGCTAAGCACTATCAACGCGTGACGATTTGACATGATACAAATACAAACCGCAGTACGAACTCTTGACACTGGATCTCAACACACTTCAACGCTGTGTTGCCCAACAACGGGCCAATATTGCCGAACACAAGCTTTGGCAACATCAAACCCCATCGCCCCTCAATAACATAAATAGCCACTTTCTGGGGCGTCAACAGTGATTGTGCGATTTACTGCATGGCCCCTGGCCATGGGAATGTGGAATTCCATCACTGGCTCAGAGACTCGTGGTGGTGGAATGCTCGTGTGAAAAGTGTGAGATGTTTTTGCCAGCGCTGGGCTCTCCAGTTATCTGAGTGATGCATTGCTCAACCGATTATCGATTACGTATCTCGACTAATCGGATAACATAAAAAAATCGAAGAAAAAAAACATCACCTCTGTTCTCACGTGTGCCGCTGGTCGCGTCAAACCGAGCGTGGCTTGTCGGGGATTTCCCGCCTTCGAAAGTTAGGGTGTTAGGGTGGGGGCGGGGGGGGTGCCACCACGACTGAAGGGTAATTGACCACAACAAACGAAGTCCACTTCAAAGCATCATCTACCAGCTCCAGTTTGAACCTCGCCTGTATCTCCCGCACGCCCTTGCGATTTTAATCTCAATTAGTGCGGTTTGTGGTCGTTCAATTATACATTAAATACAGGCTCCTTGGGTGCAGAGCTCATCATCGTAGAGATTAATGCCAGTATAAGTCAATCTGGCTGTCGCCACATTTAACTTGCGCGAGAGGCCCGCTGAGATTACATTTCCATCTCTTGCAGCCACGACGGGAGCGACCTGCATCACAACCCGATCCTGTCGGATCTTTTCACAAGCTCAGCAGGGTTGAGCATTGGTGAGCACTCAGATGGGAGACCGCCTGTGAATACGAAAGGGTGAATAATAATAATAGTGTCGACTGCACGGTACAGAACTGACTCGCTGTCGAATAGGGAGAACGACTCAGAGGAGGAACCACAGACGAGCGAGGAAAGCAGCAACCACGTGATGAGCTGCATCCCCCCCCCCCTCCCGCCCAAGCTCTGCGGTCCTCTATTTATGTATGTTGAACTTCTTTCACACCGTACGTAGCCAAGCGTGGGGGAAATACAATTTCTTGCTGTGGTTTTCACACCTGATGATGATTGCTTGTATTGCAATCGAAACGTCGTGAGAATTGTATAAAATATTTTATTATTTTATTATTTCCTTTCTACGTGACTTTACCGAAAGAACCAATAATATAATAAAACTAACAGCGCTTATCCCAACCAGCTGGGGATTAGTCCACTTGCTGTGTCGCCTTCTCCTGGCGAGCCAGCAGGGTACGGCACCACCTCAACACTCACGGGTCGTAGGAGGGAGTCTCACAACAACTTCTGTTGGTGCGGTGATCCATCAACCCTCGCTGCTGCGGCTGCCACCACAGTGCCGGGTTACAGGCAGCCCACGTGGCCTGGCCTGGGAGGTGGCCACGAGCTGGCAAGCATTACTACACGATGTTTGAACTTTAGTTGTATGTTTCAATTTAAAGCTTTCGTAACTGCAGAGATTCATCTTCTTGGTTCTTTCTGTCTCCTCGACAGACCTGTTCTCCACCTGAAGACGGCTGCTTGCGTTGTGGCCGAAACGTCGTGAGAATTATTTTATTATGTTTAATTTTATTATTTTATTATTTTCCTTCTACGTGACTTTACCGAAAGAACCAAGAAGATTTATTTGTATGGTTTTTTGTATTACCAAGTAAGGCCCACTAAGCTATATAGATATTATATTATTTGGGTTTTCGGTAAAGTCACGTCGATAGGTTAAAAGAAAATAGTTTTTTGTTATTTTTTGTTATTTTCTTTCAACCCATCTAGGTGTCTTTACCGAAAAACCCAAAGAATATGAATTCCTGCAGTCACGAAAGCTTTAAGTGAAGATTTATACAACTATTTTTCAGAAGTGACCTGACCACGAATTATAGGTCAACGAAGTGGCTCATCATCATGTGGAAATAGCAGCCAAATACTCTGAACGCACGCTGATTATAAATGTGGAAGGGAAAACACGGAGGACCTTGAGAAAAATCCACGCGACCACGGGGAGAGAGACATGCAAACTCCAAATATACATGCGTCAGGGTCGGGATCGGGATCGGGATCGAACCCACAACCTCCTGAATACCAGGCGAGGTAGTTAACATTTTGCCACGGTAGCACCCACAATATATGATTCCGTAATAGCTATGCGGAGCTTTGAGTGTCACCCCCTCATATGCGTGAGTTTTCTTCGGATTTTCAGGTTCGTTCCACACAAGAAGCCGAGAAATCGTCATTTGATTTGGGCCAAACATTTCGACGTAAGAATGCGTCCTGAGATTCAGCGAGGCTCTGTCGGGTAAATCATCATCATCATCAACATCATCCATTATCTATCCACTTTTGGATGGAAGCATCAAGTCGTCACTCCTGGGGCAATTAAAAAGCATAATTGTTTGTTATTGTTGTTGTTGTAAGATCTCCCTTTTACAAAAAACAAGAAACAAAAGCGCGTGAAAAGATACTGTAAATGTTAATTTATTTGGCATTCTGCAAATTGCGGAGTAATTTTCAAGTCATGTAATTAGTAGGATTTGCCACATGTACGTGTGCGTGTGTGTGTACCTTACACAATGGGGAGCTGTGACGCAGTGGTGGGCGCGCTGCTCTACAAACCCGGCCACCCAAGTTCGATTCCCGCTCACGACCACCAACACCTGTGACGATTATCAGAACCGGTCACGGGCCTGTCCCGAGGTCGCCTCGACCTCTCACGGGTAGCTCGTGCGAGGTGCTCACATTGCCACCGGGGGAGACAAAGGCGGCTGCGCGCGTTGTTTTGTTTGTTTGGCCAAACCACCCCGTGGTTTTGCCACTCACTAACAGCACTTGCCCCAACAGTCTGTTAAGCCTATACAGGGCGCGGGGGGATCTTTGTCTGTGTGTGTGCAAAGCACGTGTGTGCAGGGCGCGCGCGCGCGCGTGTGTGTGCGAGGTGTGTGCGAGGTGTGTGTGCGCGTTGTGTGTGTGTGCAAGGTGTGTGTGTGCGTTGTGTGTGTGTGCGAGGTGTGTGCAAGGTGTGTGTGTGTGCAAGGTGTGTGTGTGCGTTGTGTGTGTGTGTGCGCATTGTGTGTGTGTGCGTTGTGTGTGCGCATTGTGTGTGCGTGCGCATTGTGTGTGTGTGCGCGTTGTGTGTGTGTGTGCAGCCGCGTTATTATTCCCATGCGGGAGTGGCCGCTTGTTAACAGATGGTGCTCGCACGATCGCCGCCTTCATCATCCAAGAGGCGGCCACATTACCAGCAGCAGCAGCAGCAGCGGCGGCAGCGGCAGCAGTTGTCGCTGTTTAAGCAGCCGAGTCGGCTTAGTGCGGTGCTCCGCGCGCCCTGCCCCTGGCCCTGCCGGGAAAGCAGTCGTTGTGTGCCAATGAGAGCATTAGCCCTGCTGCAGTGTTTACTGTCGGTGTGTGTGTGCGTCTGTCAGTCAGTGTGTGTGTAAGTGTCTGTGAGTGTGTGTGTGTAAGTGTCGGGGAGCGGTAGTGTGGCGGTTAGCGCGCTGCGCTACGAAAACCGGCGAACCGAGTTCGATTCACGGTCAACATCGGTGACGATTATCTGAACGGGTCGTGGGCCTCCCCTAGGTCGACTCAGCCTCAAATGAGTACCTGGTGCGGTGGGTAAAAACATCACCACTGGGCAGACAAAGGCGGTCGGGCGTGGTGCTGGCAAACCACGCCCTCGTGTGCCGTTCTGACCATCATAGGTGCTCGCTAACATCACTTGCCCCAACAGTCTGTTAAGGCTATACGGGGGATCTTTGTATTTTAATCTAAGTGTGTGTCTGCGTGTATGGGAAGCGGTAGTGTAGCGGTTAGCGCGCTGCACTACGAACCCGGCCAACCGAGTTAGATTCCCGCTCACGGCGAACACCAGTGACGATTTTCTGAACCGGTCCTGGGCCTCCCCTAGGTGAACTCAGCCCCAAATGAGTTCCTGGTCCGGTGTGTAAACATCTCTCCTGGGGAGACAAAGGCGGTCGGGTGTGGTTCTGGCCACCCCACCCCCTCGCGCCGACCTTCAAAGGTGCTCCCTAACAGCACTTGCCCCAACAGTCTGTTAAGTCTCTACACGCGGGGCTCTTTGTCTTGCGTGCGTGAGCGTGCTCATGGTTACAGCTCAGGGAATGTGTTTGGCGTGTGGCTTACCGGCCCGGGGAGACGCAGACTCTTGGCTGCGTGAGAAGGAGGTTCCTGGCTACTAATCCTGTGGGCAGCCAACATTGTGCTGCTGCTGCTGCTTCTATTGCTGTGCTGAGCACTGAGCACATACATGCAGACAGAGAGGCACACACGCACGCACAGAGAGACGGGCAGACAGAGAGACGAGGCATTACCTGCGTGAGAGCCACGTGAGAGAGAGAGCTACGCCACAGAGAAGGGCAAAGGGTCCTTTATTGACACGGGGGAAGCCTCGGCCGATTCTTAAGGCTCATTTTCAGGAGGATCCCGCCCGCTTTGTGGTGTTTGGCGAATTTCTTATCGCGTTTCACACACTCACACAAGAAAAGCCCCACTCGGAATCTGCCCACGCATGCGATTGGTGCTCAGAGATCTGTATGGGATAGGTTAGTAACCTACCTGCTGTACTGCCTGGTGCAAGCCAACCTCGCGGGCAAATCGCTCGTGGTGGTCTCACGTACGAACGTCTCTCATTGATGCACCGACCCGGAGTTGGATGCATGCGCCACGATGGTACACATCGATGCGTGGAGATAAATCTCATTAAAATATCGTTTTCACTGTTTTTTTTCCCTTCTAATCAGGAATCGGGCAATTTGTTTGATGACGCAAATCGCTTGGAAATTACTTTACTTCACGCAGCATGAGCAGATTCACTTATACTGCATGACATTAGTATTCATTGTCAATATCACTTAACGTATTCTGGTGCTGGACCACATATGGCGACAATTAAGTGGCCAAATGATGTGATTGTTCAGTGCCGCTGCAGTTGAGTGAGCAGTTTATTTCCCGCACCGCATCGCTCCTCCTCCACCACCACCACCACCACCAACTGCCACGACCAACCACTACCAACCACCACCAATCACCACCAACCACTACCAACCACCACCAATCACCACCAACCACTACCAACCACCACCAATCACCACCACCAACCACCACCAACCACTACCAACCACCACCAACCACCACCAACCACTACCAACCACCACCAATCACCACCACCAACTGCCACGACCAACCACTACCAACCACCACCAACCACCACCAACCACCACCAACACTGACAGCTTCTCACTTGCTCGCCGATTTTCTCTCCTCGGCAGCTGAAGTGCCGAACGCTCAGAATCAGAATATGTATTTAGCCTGGAGAAATCCGATGAATTATGAAGCTCTTCTTCACAGGAATGAGTGCCGTGTCACGTGGTCGCGACGCGTCCGTCCCACGCCTTGTGACGTCTCCTTGATGACGCTCTGCTGTGCGCTGTAACCACGGTAACCACGGTAACCATGTGTGTGCGCGGTGCTTTGGGTAACCACGAATTACGTGTCGAGGAAAAATAGCTCCTCCATAACGCGCAAGACGCATAACTCCAGTATAACACGTACCGCGAATGAAGCTATAGAGCTCTTTTTTAGAAGCGACTTGGTCACAAATGATAGCTCAACAAAGTGGAAAATTATAGCAGCCATATTACTCTAAACCCGGAGAAAAATCTACGCGACCACGGAGAGAGAGACATGCAAACTCAAAATATAAAGCAGGTGTCAGGGTCGGGATCAAACCCACGACCTCCTGTATACCAGGCGAGGTAGTTAACATCTCCTAGCCACCGTGGCTTGTCTATTTAGATAAACGTGGGCAGTTACTTACTCTTAACTTCCTTAATGGCCTTAAACATTAGCTGTCTTTAACAAGGACGCACACGTGTTTGTAATGTCAATTCACGTGACGTGTGATTTTATACTTATAAACAACACCTTAGCTGAAGGCGCTCTATAACATAGTTTACAAGCGGTAACAAAAATAAAGTTATTTAGATGGCAGTGCAAGTGTCAATGAACGAGTGTGACCGTAACAGAGGGCACATGGGGGTCACGATGAGCCAGGGTAGGGGAGAAACGGGAAGAGGTGGAGGAGCGATGGGAGGGAAGAGGAAGGGAATTGACAATGGAGAAGCGGCGAGGCTTTTGCAGAGGAGCGACAGGAGGTGTGGATGTCGACGTTCCAGAAAATATATCGATTGAGAAAGTCAACCCGTGATACGTGTGGCAGGGGGCTTCGACGAAAATAGACTCTACACTCTTTGGTTCTTTCGGTAAAGTCACGTAGTTAAAAATACATTAAAATAAAACAAATCACGACGTTTCGATTGCAACACAAGAAATCATCATCAGGTGGGAAAACCACAGCAATAGTTTGTTTTGCTGAAGTGGGAGAGAGAGCTGCCGTGGCAAGACGTTATATAGTTAAGAAGGGGGAGGGGCAAGGGGGGAGAGAGACTCCCGGATTGTGTGGTCGTGTGGCACCACGTGTTGTTCGGCACAAGGTGCGCCACACGCACACGCAGGAGAGAGACTCAGCACCACCGCGAACACGCGGGGCGGTACAAAGGGGCTCTCCATTTGCCATCGATCATCATCATCGTCATCATCATTGTCATCGTCATTATCATTATCATCATCATTGTCATCATCATCATCGTCATTATCATTATCATGAGCATTGCTCTACAGGGCGCCACGGTAGCGCGATGTTAACTACCTCGCCTCGGATACAAGAGGTCGTGGGGTCGATTCCAACCCTGACGATTTTTGGAGTTTGCATGTTCTCCCCGTGGTCACGTGGATTTTTTTCCGTGTTTTTCGTCTGTATGTAGAAGCATGCGCTTGGAGTATTTATTTGCGATGAATGTCCACGTGATAAGCCACTACGTTGAGCTATCATTTGTTGTAGCCAGGTCGCTTCGGATTTTTTTTCTCTATATCTCAGTGTGGGCCTTGCCTGGTAAAATACAAATAGTTTAGTTTATAGTTTAGTTTTATATTCTATTGCTGGTTGATTCCAGTCCAGCTTAAATAACTGAAGGATTAATACGATGATGCGTTTGTTCATCACGTGACAACTTTCATCTATTAGCGGTCTCGGGTGGAGGGGGTTAACGACGCGCATTTTTATTCACGCGATCACCACCCAAACATCAACGACGAATCACAATATTGGTCGCCAAAGCCTACGAGTTCAACTTGGCCCCGAAGTGTTTTTTTTTCATCTTCTTCTTCCAGTCGTCGCGTTCCAACAGACGCATGGCCAAGTTGTTCTCTCTGCGATTATCTGTTTTGACAGTTTCTCAATTCGTCGCTGAGCGTCTCATCTCGCGGCTTAAGTGCGATTCCGCTGTAATGGGCTTCGACTCGCTCAGGTGGCTCCCGATGTGTGTGTGTTCAGGTTACAGCCACCGCGCCGTAGAACGCGTGGACGCATCGGCGAGGCCCGGCCGTGAGAACAGACGCCGCTCCGCGCAGCGCAGCAGAGTCGAGGCTCTTGTTGTAGCGTAGCCTCCTCCTCCGACGACGAGCGGATCCTAAACTTTCCCGAGCCCCCCTCGACCCCCTTCGCTTCCCGTTGATCCGTTCCTTTTTCTATCCTTGCTCTGATATTTCCCATTCTCTTCTCCTTCTCTCTCACCGCTTCCCATCCCGTCAGTTGGTGGCCACGCATTCCGTCCTTGCCTCTCCACCCCCACCACCTACCTGTGGTGGTGGTGTGCCACGGGTAAAATAGTTGCTACTTTACAGCGAAAAAAAGAAAACACCCCAAAGGTTTTAGCGTTAATGGATTTCTCCGCAGATCTGTGCTTTGCCGCGGTGCGTGGCAGAGACGCAAACAATGTAGCGTGCGCGTGCGAGTTGAGATGTCGACTTGGCAATATTACGGGGTTTGTGGTCGGAGTGTGGCTTTGGCAGGGGCTTATCTTGCATAATCTGTTATCTTTAGCTTTTGAGCAGTCACGGGGGTGCTTGTGCATTGTGTAAACGGCTTTTTTAGAAACACTTATACGAGTGAGCTTGTCTCGCCTCGCCACGGCCAGTTTTTGTGTTCTCATCCGTTCTGAATGTTTAGTCTAACTTTGCATTTATTTTCTGCGTTCGCCTTTCGTGACCTGCGGCCGCATCACCCGGAATGCGCCCCTATCTGTACCCATGTCGCGCAACTAGTAAGCACGGGTTGAGCCTGTGGGCAGTGTTGGTATGGGCGACAATCACGTGTTAAACACAGGTGATAATGATGATGAAAATGAATAGCAATGATTTGGTTTAGATCTTAAGTTTTCGTGACTGCAATGTTCCATACTCTTTGATTCTTTCGGTAAAGTCACGTAGGTATAAAATAAAATAAAAACTTTTTTACAAAAATTTGTAACAATACATTTAAAAAAATATATATATATTTTTTTTATTGTTACATTTTTTTTTTATAAAAAAGTTTTTGTATTTTATTTTATACTTACGTGACTTTACCGAAAGAACCAAAGAGCAATGATATGATTTCATGCAGCCTTCTATCATTGAAGCGTGTGATAATGTCAGCAATATGTTCAGGAGATAAATGCCCAAATGTCCGAGGTCTGCTGCTGTTGGCCACGACAAGAGGGCTTCATGTATGTATGTTGTACTATATTGAACTTCGTTCGCACCGTACGTAGCCAACCGTGATAATCGGAGGTGCTGGGGAAGGACAACAAACTAAAAACACAAGAAGCAATTCAGGAGAGAGATTCGTGTAGTTTTGCATTTCCTCATCCATTGAAGGAGTGCGCCGTTCATGAACAATGCATCACAGAACGCCGTTTTTTTTATTTCACCGCAAGACAAATGCAGCCGGAACCGATGGCGTCGATTTTCCTAATCTCCGTGGTCCTATATTGGGATGTTTGTCCAACTCCGTTAATGAGCGTTTATTCGTGAACCTACATGTGGGAGGAAACCGGAGTGGCCGGGGGAAATCAATGCCACTCGATCCACCTCCATACACATGGCGATTAATCGACTTGCTGTGCTGCCTTACCTACTCAGGCAAACAAGGGAAATTATTTAAACTATGGACTATTTAAAAAATAGATGTATCAGTAAGGCACATTGAGCTATATAGTAGCTCTTATTAAGAAGCGACTTGGTCACCAATTATTGCTCTACGAAGTGGCTTATCACGTGGAAATGTATAGCAGTCAAAAGCACGTTGATTATAAACGTGGAGGGAAAATTGGAGGACCCGGAGAAAAATCCACGCGACCACGGGGGGAGAGAGAGAGAAAGAACATGCTAATTCCAAATATACAGCAGGCGTCAGGATCTGGATCGAACCCACGACCTCCTATATACACCGCGGCGCTAACCACTACACTACCGCTCTCTCATCTCCAGGAGATGGCGACATCAGTGTCCGCGGGTAGGCAAGGGAGGGTCACGACTTTGTGGTCTACCAACCCTCCCTGACTCTCTCCACAGTGCTGCATTAGAGGCGTGCACCTCCAGATGTCACGGCCTCTCGCTGGGCTTCTTGGTGGCCACCAGATGGTAGTGCTGTAAACATCCAATGTTGTATTCTACTATGTCCCCACGTCTATGCTCCACTCCTTCACTAATCCGCACTGACCAGCGTGGTGAAGTATGGTCAAATAACTACCCTCCTCAACCTCCCTCAATGTACATATATACGATGAGAATTTGCTGATTATGTAAATTGTTGTACGATATATTGAGCGAATTGTTTAGTTTTTAATCAGAAACTAGCAACGCGCATGTCCTTTGGACGTGACCGTCCGTCTGTCCCTCCCTCCGGACGTAACGCCCAGCCAGTCGGCCAGCCAGCAAAACTTTTATATTTTTTTGTAATATGACATGTGTACATCGTTACTTCACCGCGCTGGTCAATGTGTGTCGGTGAAGGCGTAGGGGGAGTGCAAAAGGGCAATGATTTGTTTTGTACTGCACTGCCCACAACGCCTGCT